CCCAGCAAGCAAAAAGGTCTTATTTCAACTGCCTGCTTGAAGTTAACCTGTCTTATCATGGACACTATTGCTTGTTTCTCTACTTTCATCATCCAGTGCCTAGAATAGCACCTGGCCCTACAGAAGTAAGTGTGGAATTAAGGAGTTGATTGGGCAGTGTACGAAAATCAACCAGAAGGTACGTGATTGTTATCTGAAACTTCATAACAAGTGACTGAGATGCTCTCCAGGTACTGGACTTCCCAGCGTTCTGTGGCATCCCTCCTCTCTCTATCCTCAAGGCAAAGTGCTCCCCAGTGTTCTTGCCTTTTTCTCTGTCTGCAGAAATGTTTTTAGTTGCAAATAGATGAACATTTTGAGGATTTAAGGAGCAAGTAAACATACTGATAGACTACTGAGTAGTTTACCATCTTCTAAAACCTGTTATCTGGGCTGGCAAGATAGCTCAGTGGTCTAAAGCACCTGCTTAGGCAAGCTTAAGTAAGTTTAGGGACCATGGTTCAATCCTCAGCACCATATGCCAAACCAGCACCACCTCGAGGGCAGGCTGAGTCGGCCACAAAAAAAAAAAAAAAAAAAAGAAAAGAAAAAAAAGAAAAAAAAGAAAAACCTGCTGTTGGTTACTTGAACTTTTGCAATGAGCCATAGATCAAAACATTGTACTTAAATTTCTGCAGTACAGTAACGCCATTCCTCTTAAAGGCTTTTGAATAGAGATGTGCATATTATGAGGTAGCAGGACATTGTTAGGGAGGAAGGAAGGAATTTGTTGTATTATAAGCCTGTAGCAGGAAGAGACTTCTGGAGGAACCACAGAAGAACTGTGATGGGAGAAAGAAGGGCGGGAACAGAGGAGGGACAAGCTGTAGTGCCCATGAAGACCAGAGACCAGCCTCTGGCTTCCAAGAGGCCTGCCTACCACCACACACTCACATCCCACGAGCTAAAACAGACCCCTGAAGAAAAGGGTTACTATCCTGGATTCACTAAAGATGAAGTAAAACCAGTTTCACCTTTTTGTTAGAAAAATGGAAACATGACAAACTTCTCCTTCCCATCCCTTTCCCACCCTGATATTTGCTGGTTTCAGTGTGGGTTCGGTATGATTCAGCTGTTGCTAGGAAGGATTAATTCTTTCCCAAAATCTCCTATCTGCATTCTGCCCCAGATATCTCAGCTACACTTGGTTTCATCTTTGGATTGTAAGACAAAAGGAATACAGGAAACTTTTGTTTTTAAACCTGTTAAGTAATGTTTTCCTTTTTAAATATTAAAAACAGTAGGGTTGGGGAGATAGCTCAGGAGCTATCTCATCTCATAAGTGCTTGCCTGGCAAGCGTCTAGGTCCTGAGTTCAATCTCTGGTACTGCAAAAACAAAAAACTATCAGTGCAATTAAATATTAAAAACAAATATAGATGGTTACTGTATTTGTTTAAAGTTAAGGGCTGAAGCGGTAGCTCAACAGAGTGGCACTGTCCTAGCATGCACAAGGCACTGAGTTCAGAAGCTAACACACACAAAAAAAAATTTAATCAAGTCATATAGACAATGAAAAGCATAGAATGATTCGTAAGACTTTCCTCCTGTCCTCGGCTCACTTCTGCTCCCAGTTAATTTCTCAGGAAGGATTTATTTAGTGGCCAAAGTTTAGGATCTATGGTATTTCAAATTAAATTGCAGCAAAATAGAAGCGTGTGTTCTAAATTAACAGCTCCTGTAGGGGACTCAGGTCAACAATTTCTCACATGGCCAGTGAAATGGAAGACCCAATACTATTATGGACTACTGGACTCTTTTAGAATATTTTGCTGAGTTTACACACCTATAATATTCAAATAATGGAACTTAACCAAAAAGGGGATACAGATGAATGTCCATTTTGTATCTACGTATTCAAAGTGGTTAGGATAGATATATAGTTACATTCTCTTAATGAATAGAGGGATTTGTTCTAATGGTGTTTGTAAATAGGATATCAAGTCTGCGTCTTGTACAGCAATTAACCACTAGGAAGAATGTATGCAATGTGTTAATTATTGAAACTGTCCTACCAATTTGGTTTGAAACTGTCTCATTGCTATTTGTTTCTCAATAAAATTATGGAAAAAAAAATTAAATTAAATTAAAATTTAAAAATAAATTAACAGCTCCATGAGGACAGTACAGACACCAATTGTCAACATTTGTCCTATATATCTGCATCTGTAGATGAAGAAGAAAGTGCTACATATGGTAGCACCTGGGAGGCTGAGATAGGAAGATCACGAATTTGATGCCAGCCTAGGCTACCTCAAATAGTGAATTCAAGGATAGCCAAAACTACAACATCTGTAATCCCATCACTCTGAGAGGCTGAGGCAGGAAGATTACAAATTTGAGTACAGTTTGGGCAATTTAGCAATTTAGTGAGACCCTGTCAATTAGTCAATCAATCAATCAGATGGGGATATAGCTCAATGTGAGGGTCTTAGTTTCAATCCCCAGTACTAAAAAGAGAAAAAAGGAAGGAGGGAGGAGGAGGAGAAAAAGAGGAGGGAGGAAGGGAAGAAGGGAAGATGAAATGGGGAAGCAGGGGAGGGAAGGGGAAGGAGGCGAAAGGGAATAATGAGGAGGGAAAGGAGGACAAGAAAAGTCCCAGGATCTTGTCTGTCTCCTTCACTTCCCTCAAAACATAGGACTCAGTGTCCTCAGGACAGAGAATCACGCCTAAGAGCAGGAGGCGAAAGGCTAAACTAGCCCTTGCTCTCACATGTTGCAACTCTGTCACTCAGAGAACCCTCAGAAATATTTGTCCTGGTCCCAACCTGCAGACAGAGTATCATTCTTTTCTCTCCACTTAGGAAGAAGACAAGCCTACTCTCTATGTGTTCAATGCTGTAACGCAAGAGATGATGCCAATAATTGAGAACATTTCCCTTCTTGATAGAAAGGTGTCTGACCTGCGAACACTGGTTACTCTGCAATGTGGCTTCCCCATGAGCATCTACTGTCTGCGGACCCCAAAGGGACAGGAAATGTATGACTGCAACACGCTCAAGGACTACCACACCGACACAGGTACTGTCGGCAGCCCCCCATTCCAGCTGCTCCTCAGCACAAGGGCTCTTTGATACTAGGTTTTACAGCCTATCATGAGAAAACAGAAATCTAGATTTTAAATG